AGGTATTAAATTAATATAAACATTTAAATATCCCTTTAAAATGGTAGTGACTAGTGCTAATATTGCATAAACGTACGATACATTTTAGTTATTAAAAAAAACATAAAAAATACAATCAGTGTGACCATAAACGCATTAGCAGATAATTTCTGGATAAAATTATTATTTGCAGACGGTACACATTAAAATGGACAATAAAAGCACCGATAACATTATTATTAATTGTTATCAGTTTGTTTTTCATGTTAAATGAATGACATGTACGAGTGCTTTTTGTACAGGTTCATTGACTCAAAATCCTTTTACCCAATTGTATTACCTATTAGGTTTTCATTGGCGAAATATTGAACAATCAAAGCTATAAAGTCACTGAGAAGGGTATGATTTACATATCAAATATTGACTTAAAGAGGATTATCTGTTCCAATTGTTTAAAACGTATTGCGTTGTTCTTAATAAATTTTTAATTGTATGGGAGATTAAAATGATCATTCGGGAAAAAATAAATCTATAGCAGTTTTGAAGTAGTTGAAGTAGCAGATATTTCTTTTTATTCTCATGCATTATTGCTTTTATTTTAAATTGTTGTTTAATAAGAAAATTTTAATTCAAAAACTTGTCCTCTAATTAGATTTTAATTTTCCAAAAAGTCATCTACCGACGACCTTAGTTTTTTATTAATTTTAGAGTTCTTCAGTATACTTGTTTATTTATTTCTTATAATAACAAAAATGTGTATATGAGGCATCGTCTTACCTTAATCTTTTCGCCTCGTCAATAAACGGCCTCTTTTCCGATTCACTAAGCAATTTCCACTCGGCTCCCAGACGTTTCGATATTTCCGAGTTGTGCATCTTCGGATTTTCCTGTGCCATTTTCCTCCGCTGTCCTCTCGACCAAACCATGAACGCATTCATCGGTCTCTTGATGTGCTCCTGTTGATGACCACCGAGCGGTTTAGGAGATGACATTCTAGCTTTTCGGTTAAATCAGTGGCGCACTTTGTTTAATAAGTTTGACGATTTCATTTTCGTTATTTTGGAGACAAAGTTCGTTTGGTGCGTGTTGGCGGGAAAACCGATAATACCACGTGCTTTTTGATGCATGCACAAACTTAACGGAAAATGTTTTTTTTCAGCGATGTGATTCAGAACAACGTTCTGTTATTATTGTTTATACATTTTTTAATACATTGTCTAGACGCATATGTTTTATTTATGAATTTGCGAGGAGTAAGTAAGTACACATTTATTGATAATGTATCTACTCATGTGGATCGTCGTACTGCGAGAGTTTGTTCACATTGAAATGAACGATTCACTTCCGTGGACGACTTTAAGGTTGGATTAGGATTCCCCGAACTGCTGTAGAAGTTGTGACGGGGTGGTAGCACAACGGCTGTGGGGCGGGGAGTGATTGCGCAAAGCGTTCCGATTTTGTACATAGCTATTTTATGTATAGGTATTTGTGTTTATTTTTACTATGTAATAATAAATGTGATACCTATTCACTCAAGTTGTAGATAGGTATACTACTGGTGTACTTTGGTAGGTAATGCATAACAAAAAAAATTGGAAATTCACTTCCTCAATGCTTTTAGAATTTACAGCTATTTGACAAAATGCTGGGTACCACTGCACTATATTCGCATTCGCCACAAACGGCGAAAAATTGTTGGAGCAGGTGCCAATTTCGTTTTTAAATAGGTAGTAAACTTTTATCAGTTTTTATCAGCGCAGACAACGCTAACAGTCATGAAAAACATTTTGTATTGGAATTTTAATTACAAATAGGACAGCTAAAATTATATTTATTTGATTAGTCGAACTGATTATCTACTATATGTTATCTGTTAGAAGTTGTTCCTTGAACATATCCAAATTATTTTAAAAAAAGCAATACAGAGAGGTAATAAAGTGGGATCCGTGAAATTTAGATGGTCAACCCAGTCATCATCATCATAAGGTCGTAAGTCTTAAGACTGGTTGGGCACGCACCTCCATTCCTTCCCATCATGAGCTAATCGTCGCATTTCCCTAAAACTAGAACTCCTTAACTATTTGCGAACAGTAATGTAATCTAGGTCTACCTCTACCCCTCCTAACTCCCGTTTCTATTTCTATTTTTTATTGACTTCCGTAGAGTCCTCTGTTCTCCTATACTTTCTAATATCTCTTCATTTTTAACTTTCTCTATCCACGGTATCTTCATCATTCGCCTGATAACACCACATTTCCAACGCTTCTACAATTTTCCGTCGCGGCCACCGTCCGTGTTTCCCAGTATGAAATAATAAATAAATGAAAATTTTATGATTTATTTATTTATGATTTTATTTTAATGAAATGCTTATGAATCAACAATGGTCATTCGTTCCTATAATCCTAGGTTTTAGTTTGCTTATGGTGTACGACAATACATACTTATCATATTAGGAGGGTGTTCGTTGTGGGATGTAAAATAAAATCTAAGATTCTTTCAGCACCAATGTAAAAAGTGGGTGATGGGTTTTTTCCTGCTCGTCTAGCCCTGAAAATACTTTTAATTGTATAATCTACCCACACTAGTGGCGAATTGAATACCGAACGTAGAGGAGGTTTATTACATGCAATCATCAAAAAGGGTGGCATTTGATGAATACTGCGTGGTATAGGGAAATTCGTACAAATACCTTCAGCCATCTTTTCTTGTAGATAATACTGTAATATTTAGATGTCCAATAAATGCAATTTATTAAACCATTTGAGGGGTATTAAGCTATGTTTTATGTAGTCGCGGCGATATTTTCAAATATATAGATGCGGTTGGAAAAACATTTTCCACATGTTCACTAAATTATGAATTTTCACTCAATTTGCCTTAGCTGCATATAATTATCCAGTTCAATAATAACAGCTTTGATAAAATACACATTTGAATTACTTTAAGAAAATTTTAAAAGTTGCACATTAGTTCGACAAATCAAAATATACGTCCCCTCCGTTTAATTTATGTGTGCCGATTCCAGTTATTCCACCAAAGAAGCTAATGCTAAGTCTTAAGACTTATTGTAACAGCCAGTTTGAAATATTCAGAGCACAGTGAGGACTCGATTAACTAGACTAATTACGGTAAGTCTCATTCCGATAATCGAAAATCCGGATAATTGAATGTATGAAGAAAAGCGATTTTTATTATTTTAATACACATTACTAAAAAACAGACAGAGACAAATAGACTACAAAGATATTTGCTTGCGGTTGGCAATCCGGATAATCGCGATCGCGTATGACTGAGGTCCGGATAATCGAGTCTCCACTGTATTGGTTTACACGTTCTAAAATTAGGTTTACCTACTAAAAAGTCTCATTCATTCATCGTGAAATAAGCATCGGTGAATGCTACTTGTTTCATGAATTTTGTGCGAATTCGGCGAACATAATGAATAGGTATTTACAGTACATTCCTAATCCCAAACAGTACGGGTTGTGTCGTATTATTTCGCGCAGTATGTACGCGGATATCATTAGTAAACAGAACCAATGAACAAGAATAGGCGGAGTTAGACAATCGACGAGGAGGAAGTGGGGACTCACTTCATGGCGACGGAGACGGAAAGTTACGTGCGAATTTTAACGAGCACGATCGGGAACGATCGGTAAAGCATACCATTTCACAGCCTACTAGATTTACCGATAAACATTTTTATTTTCTTTCGCCGCATCGTTAAAAGGCGTCCTTAATAAAAAAATTGAAATCTGAGTTGAAGAGAAACTCAAGTACAAATATACAATATCCGTGGATGTATTTTGTGAAAATGTGCACCCACTGGGTATTATAAAGATGGCTAAATAAATGGAGCGATAAATATTGATATTCATCAGTATAGAATTGTACTTTAGATTCATACCTTCATACATGTTGCTATAGGTACCTATTCAATTCAAAGTCACGAACACTTTTAAGAAGTTGTTAAAGCAGTAGGAATTACAACCAATTGTACAGGAAGAAAAAAATCACAAACATAAATAAATCATGATAGAAGTTTCTGTTAGGTGGAAAATGTGGTGAACTTCTTAACTGAAATGCCCGCAACTATAGCTTTTGTTAAGGGCGCGTATAGATTAAGCGAATAGGTACAGGTTCGGTTTGCAGCGTAAGGATCATCATCAGGCACGTGACGACCGAGCGTTATGGTCTAGAGCAGTGTTTCCCAACCTTTTTTTCCTCGCGAACCAAAAGAAAGGTCCGAAAAAATTTGACAAACCCCCTATATAGTCGTTAATGACAGGTAAAAAACAGCAATAAAATTTGATAGAATATATATTTTTCATATTGCAGAATAATTGATTATATTAATCGTGAAACATTTAAATAAAACATTAATAAGACTAAAATGATGTAAATGTAGCAAACTGCTTTAATTGGATATCTATTTCTAATTGTATTGTAAAAAAAATATTACATAGAAGGGAAAANTCTGTCGGAGCTGCCTGCGACGCGCTGATGAGATCCAAAAAGATCGAAATCGCGATCCGCGTCTGGCAGTTTCGACAGAATACAGACCACTTCGAATTATTTTAAACAAATTCACATTCGCATTTATAATATTAGTTAGGATATCAGTTAGGTTTTACGAATACTAATGGTATATTATTGAACCAAAGTTGAAACCAATGCAAACAGTCCATTTTAAAGTGCAAGTAGCATTAATTATATAAGTATAAGTGCAATTATTTATTCCCCTGTTTCCACGTAATAACATTGCAACTTACAGACTCTGCGGTAGTTCGCACCGCTACCGCTCTACTGTCGCTTGATGTGGAAGCGCCCTTACATCTGTGCATTTCTACCTTGAATAAATATATGTAGATTATACTTTTTGAGATAGTGTGAGATGTTCACAATTGCACAATCTCCAATTTATTTATTGCATATTTTCGCCTCCATTATCAATTTAAGGAAGTTATAAATTATAAGGAACAATTTTATCGTTAGAAACTTAAACATCTTGCTATTCTTCTTCTTTGTGCCTAGGATAATTACCTTTTGATACGCATACATGTAGTTTCAGTAAACAGATTAAAAATATTAAAGATGAGCTATGTTTGTTTAGTAGATACTCACCAACAATGTTGCAGAAAGTAAACGAGAGAAATAAATTCTTAATTTACCGTATCATGACATGCAGTACCTATTTATATACCTATGTGTGTAGTTGTTTACTCATATTTTTACGTATCTATCTATATCTACAAAAAGCGTTGCAACTTAGCAAATATAAATCGTTAGTAACGCTTTTTTACAGAGGGACCATGAATTTTAAATAGTATTTTATAAATATTTTCTTTTAAAAATATTGCAGTGTTATTCCTATCAATGTAATTAGTAATAAAAATAATTTGAATAATACACAAGCACCCTAGGGTGCGGATTTATTACTTGCTAGTCGGATTATCTTCGCATCGTCTGAGAAAAATTAGTTATCATTCCAAAACATTCCTGAAGTCTATAGGCACAGAACATTCAGGGAAAATCTGTCACATTCTGTAACGTTCTGATCAGACGTCGGAACTCAATTAACACCTTTACTGAATTTCTATATGGAGTCGTTTGAAGAGATAGTCTTTTAACCCCCATATCTCTGAAACTAACCCCAAAAGATATGACGTTTTTTTAATTAAAAAATTAAATTAAAAAACCTTTGGTGTTTGTATTTTATTTTTGGAAGCTAATATATATAAAAATGTCTAAAAAAATAGGACATGTTTCTACTAGGCGTTATATTTGGAAAGCAAAAAAATGAAAAATAGAAGCTTATCGAGGTGTTATTTTTTGCTGAAAAACAAAAAGAAACTACTAATAGGTACTCTCTGAAAAATTCTGGAAAAACCTTTTTTTGATGAATACGAGACAAAGGTCAGAGTAACAAATTCTGATGAAAATTCAGTAGGTAATCATTCATATCTTGTACTCAAATAGTTGCTAACACTCTATTTTATTCCGCCGTTGTTATTAGTATTGATTTTTTGACATTTCTGCCAAAATGTTTTTCGAAATTTGGTACAGCTACTCAAGTAATTTCGCCTGCGGCTTTGATTGTCCGTAAAAGGATCATTACGGTTTGAAACTGTAGTTATGCGAGAATGTCAGATAAGCGGTAGCGACATAAAACAAAGAATAGCGCGCGGCCGAGTCGCTTTTTACAGGAACTTCTTTAGTTTGAGAATAAAAGTACACATATATGTTTAGAATAGAGGGTTGTACGGGGGCGAAATGTTGACGGTGGCCGCGGCGAAACAAAATGTTAGAAGCGTTGAAGATGAGCGGAGTTGATGAAAATAGCGTGGATAGAAAAGGCCAGGAGAGTAAAATGGGGGCAAACAAAGGCCTAGATTACTGTTAGAAAATTAGGTGGAGATTTGTGGGATGTTCCAGTTTTCAGAAAATGCGAGGAATGAGTCAAAATAGGAAAGCGGAGGTGCGTGTCCAGCCGATTTTCCGACTGAAGCTGTGATTATGATGATTAACCCTTTCT